CCTTCACTCTGCTCCCTTTTAATTCAGGGTAGGGTTTACTTTGTTTTTTATTGTTTTGTTCTTATGAATGAATAAAAAAAATAAATAGACATCTCTTAATATATTTTGACAAGACAAATATTAAGATATCTCTATGTTCTGACTAGTATAAATAACATTAGATTTATCATTAGGTTGTATGGAGACTCCAGTTCAAGATATCTTAAATGTATCTTTAGATATGAGACTCTATATAAGATTTAGTTAATGCAAATTTTATACTTTTTCATGTTCTGTAAATTGTATTTAAAACAAAGCTGCTGCTGRTGATCATTCTATTTTCATAAGCAGCCCTCCCAAGACAAATACGGGAAAGGTCTACAAAATGTTTATTGAAGATGTTTTTGATAACAGAATTGACTGACAACCATGTCAATATTTTTGTAGTACAAAATAGAAGGTGAGTTGCGCAAATTTATATTTTCAGATGAACTGAAATTTTTTAAAGAACAGTGGGATTATAAAGACAATTTCTTTAATTTTAAAAAGTCAGAAATTCTGTTTGCAGATGTTTTGAAATAGTTTTGGTGTAAATATGGAATAATAATGGAATAAACAGTGTTTTAAAACTCAACTTCTTCCTTCCGTCCCCTGTCAACTGACAATACAAAAACAAAGCATTGAAATTTTCCTTAAAATAATTTGACAGACTACAAGAATTTAACAATAAAAACATCTTAGCTTTTATGTAACTGGAGATGTTGAGCATAAGAAAAGGGGTTTGATCTTTAGATATTTGTTGGTACTTTTGCATTTTGATCACATTAATTTACTTGTTTATTTTCAGTGATGCAGGTGTGAAGTAAGGGATTCACTTTTTGACAGCTACCCATTTCTCAAAGAATGTCCTGATTAGTTCAGTGATTTTTAGAAGGAAAATGACAGATTAGGCTTGATACCATTAGATAATTAAACTTAAATATTTACTAACACATCACACAGTCTTATTCTGAAACTCTAAAACGAAAACCAAAAGCTGAATCAAGTGAACATCCTGTTTATTCAATATTTCCTTTGTCTACTTAGGTCTGAACAACTAAAGTAAAAGTTGGTACAGTCCACTTCATGGATGTCTAAATTAATATTAGACCTTTTTTATTTGAATGTATGAAAAAGTATGCAAAATGTATGATTATGAATTATTTAGAAAATAGATATTTAACCCACCAAATCTTTTGCATCTGTTCATTTTTCCTAATGGAAACTGTCTCTCTGATGATGTTTGTTTCAGGTGACTCCATGACCTACCATCATGGGCGTCCATTCTCCACATATGACCATGACAACGACATTGCCGTCACCAACTGTGCTCTGTCCTATAAGGGAGCCTTCTGGTATAAAAACTGCCACCGTGTTAACCTGATGGGACGATACGGAGATAACAGTCACAGCAAGGTACAAGATTGTTCAAACCATTCTCACTCCCAAGTCGTCACATAGTGACGCTTTGGCAAGGTTCCCTCTACGTCCGATTTTGACGCGCAGGGTACCCCCGTCACGTCAGTTACTGACGAGATGGGGCGGAAGCTGTTGTCATAT